TTGATCGCTTTCACAGAAATTGGAATTTTTGACATTGATGTGTGTTTCGTACGCTTTCGAGAGCTACGGTGAATACGGTACAATCCAACGATTATCGACTTCATCATCGTTGTTCCGGATAATCGAGTTGTTTTAAAATAATGGATCTTCGCCATCTTCTTTTGATCGTCATCGATAAAGCGAATACACGTCATTGCCAGTGATAGTCTCAGCAGTTCATTATCTTGGATATCGCTTGGAGCATTTTCCATCAGACATGCAAGGTGAAGTGCTGTTGAGTGAGCCACACGGACCATGAATCATATTTTAGATAATTACCTGAAATAAGTCTGGATCAATGGTGACATCAGGTATTTCTGCTTATATAATCTGATCAATTTGGCATGGTGTGATTTTTCAATAAGCCAAATCAGAATGTGTGCATGTGGCAATCCTCTTTTTTTGCAATTCAATAGAATACATCCAACACCGTGTCTCTCCAAAAACATGACGGTTCACAATGAAATCAAGCAAAGATTTTAATTTTCGTTTGTGCGTGCAGTAATATCATGACAATCTGATGATGATTGTCCTGGTAACAAAAGCTCTTTAATTTCAACTCAAGCGGGATTGCATGTAAATGTAATAAATAAATCTGGGCACCAATATGCGCGAACATATGCATCCTGCGAGTATTGATATATGTGCCTTGAACTCCCTGTAAATGCAGCCTGCAGTATAATCCTTTTCCCTACATCATTAGGATTATCGTTACCACCATTAATTATTGCATCCCGTAAATTGTTGTTGTAGTTCCTTTACGTCTCACTAGAGCTGCACATTGGGCCATTGGAGACGGTCTGGGAAACATCCATGAGGATGAACCGAAGACATGCCATCACAATTTTAATCCTCTGTAGAGGGGATGCACCCCCGCTTCGGTAGCCCGACGACCTGCACACGAAGTTGAGCACTTTACGGCTGCACAGTTTAACGAGGACCAATACCGAACATCCTCGGTCCCTACGCAGACTGATCCAAGTGGTCACCCACCCGCACACTGACAGCAGCCAGTGATGCTTGACTTCGGCATCCCGTGAATGAATGTATTCTTCTGAACGTAATTTGGTTTGATTTAATTTAATATACAGCAGGCGTTGGGTTTTAATTTTTGCATTCATATCGACAATGTATTGATGAAATAATTGTCGACATTTTAAAATATGATTATCACCGTTTTGGAGAGTCATTAATCTATACGCATAATAATTCATTGCACTTACTTTCTTATTGGTTTCCTCGCCTGTTTGTGGATTTATGTTAAAAATGGTATTCATCGTCTCCTTGCCAAAATAAAATAGGATATTCCAATGCATCATAGGATTGTTTCTGAGACTCTTTAAACCATTTCTGCGATGAAGAATTATATCCCGGGAAGTAAATTCTTCGCCAACTATAACAATAGCCACCTAATCCAATGTTGGTGCATTGTATTTTCCTTTGTGGTGGCCAGCAGATGTTTTGTCAGCACTAAAAACAACTTTGTAATTATCGGATGGCATTTTGTCAAGGGCAGCTCTGAACTGCCTAAATAACTGATTACGTTGATCGATACATTTTTGTAATGTGGCAACAATTTCTTGTTTAGTGCCATTGTTTAACTGACAACGTTGATTGACTTGATCATTTGTGTTACCTATGAAATAAATCATAAATCTGTAGTAAAATTAATATATATATATCGAATTTTTAGAGACTCCATTACAAGTTTGAAAAATAGCTTCTACTTCATCATGATAAATTAAACATGAGTTCTTAAGAGACTTTTTGTATAATAAAAATAGCCCTCTGAGCATATTATTGAGACCATGATTTGTCTACTGCTTAAGGAATTGATAGATATGGCCAACACAAATTATAAAAATTTGAAAGGTATATTTATAGAAGAAAAACAACATCGATTTTACGAAAAAGATCGGATAAATCTTCTCAAATTCTTGCTTTCATTTCTTGTTCTCTCTGTCTTGAAATCTCTGTCTTGAATTTTCATCACGTTTTCGTTTAAGAAAATATTTTCGTCGACAGCTCCTCAAAAAACCATTTTATTTCTAGATTTCTTGAAGTAATAGCTTTTACTATTTCTAATTAGGAACAGTTGATCATTATTTAATTTTTCCATTATGACATTCAAATTATATGTCGTACTTGTAATAATAAGTTTTGGTATATTCAAGGATATTTTACTCTTCAGAAGTTACAAACTGGTTCTATTACCGGTTCTTTTCTTCTTCAGTTTACGAACAGTCTTTTTCACTTTGTTGGCACATGGACTATTATTGTCAATATATTATGATAGACATTTTTTTCAACAAAAGAAATCTCAATAATAAAACATTCGGGCTATAGTCTGTCAATAGAAAGAACTCCTATAGACATAAAGTCTATGGCTCTCTATTGCTATGGAAACAAGAAATTTAAAAGAGGGGAGTTTCACCCTCCCCCTACATGATCTCTTTCGCCAAACCCAGTCACATCTTGTCTTAAATATTGACCCGACAACCCTAATTTAGATAATCAAACCTCGTAACCATAGTCACCACTCCTTCTCTAGACGAGTCAAGAGGGGAGTTCTTTATATAGACAGACCATACCTATTTTTTCCTATTTGAAAAGGTTGCTAAGCACAATTAGGTTGAAGACTTGAAAGTGTTAGTAAATTTTATAATTTCCCTCCTCTTTTTTGATTCAATACATCAGATTTGTAATTATTGTCACTATATATAATCAATTTAAGCAAATGAGACCAAATAAACGTGAATTGAAAATTTTTAAATGCAAGCAAAATTTATCATAACCGAAATCGCTAGCACTGAGGAGTCAAGACTTCAGTAATTTGGTATATAGTAAAATTGATATTCTACCAATATCAAATCTCCTAATAATGCTATTATAAATCAGATAAATTGGGCTGATACTGAGTTAAGAAAGATTATTTATATCGTTGCACCAAATTAATAAAATATTTTGCAGATACAAATCTGTAAATTTTGACAAAATTTAGCTATTGTTTTCATAAGTTTTTTTAAGATTTATCAAATCTGAAAGGTAAATGAAAGCTAGTTGTAAATGAGTTTTGCAGAAACGTGTCTGCAAAAATCTTCNTATATATATATATATATATTAATTCTGTTCGTTGAGACATTTTGAAAGCAAGAATTTTCCCATCGGGTTTTCACCATGGAAATGTTAATGCTCGCTTGAAATAGACATTTTTCTTTTTCAAAACTCATACACAAAAAATAATCTATTTTTTTAATTGCAAAATTTAATGATATAAATAATATTTGAAAAGATAAAATATTATTTATGTTAAAGTGACCTCTGCCTCTCCGGTTAAACGGTCCCTGTTGTTAAAGAAAACATTTTTCTGCACTTTTTTCTTTAATTTAATGAAGGTACTAACTAATAGTGAGACTCAATTTTAATCACTTGAAGACCTAATCTTAAATATGCAAATTAATTCTAACTTATGAATTCAGTCAGACACTGAAATGTACTTTCTTTGAATATTCATACCTTACATCGAATAGATTTGGGTTCTTGATCTCCCAAAGTATGAATGAGAGTCTCAATCTAATGAATTGTTTTAACAGGAGAGAGGTTTGAAAGTTTGAGCCTTTTAATATTAATCTTTCTTTTTGCATATTTCATCACATCTCTGAAAATAAGGAAGTGGGTTAAAAAAATTCTTGCATTCAATTATAAAACTTGTTTATCCACGGCAATCTCATGCAAAATAATAATTTTTTTTCCTATTTAGTTATTATATTTTAGTGTTTAAACTACTGAAAATAGAAAAAAAATTGTCATAAGGTATACAAAATTTTTACACCAAATTAATCTAGGTAATCTTAGGTAATAAAATGTAAAATTTGAAGAGAATCGGTCAAATAATTCCAAAAAAATGAAAGTTAAAAAAAACACGTTCTATTGATTTCTTACTTATACTATTTCGATGATATTTTGCAGATCAGTTTAAGGATCCAAATTTGTCATAATAGGTAGGTTTATGCAGAGAAAAAAAAAACGTTTTTGTGTCTGATTTCGTAACTTAAAATATCGTAAGCACAAATTAATTTGCATATTCAAGATTAGGCCTTCAAACCATTAAGATTGAGTCCTAGTATGTGAATATACGATCAGTAAGTTAAAAATTATGAACATTTTTTTTGGTTTACTGTAATATCTAATTGAATGAATGTGGAGCTATGAAAAGGTAAGTATGTTTTTAATACATTGTTTCATATGTAACAATATCGCTTCTCCGAATAGTGCCTAGAACTGTAATAAAATAAGACATCTTCTTATAAAAAGATATTTTCTAAATTCATATTCAATTCAATTTTGGAGGATATTTACTAAATTCATGTCCAAGAGGTCGTGGGTTTGATCCCCACCGGCCGAAGACTCGCTGCATAGTAAATGGTGACCGATGCACGCTAAATCTGTCGAGTCACAAAGTCCTCCATGTTCCCATAGCAAATCATGCTTCTGGGGGTACTGATCCAGGATTTTCCTTGTCTTCTGGATTAGTTCAAAATTACAAGGCTACGGAGTAGGGTAGACGGATCATGGGTTAGAGTCCCCTTGCCATCAGCATAACAGCGGGAGGTTTTTGTGGTTTTCCTCTCCGTGACGCAAATGATAGTTAGTTCCATCAAAAAGTTCTCCACGAAGACAAATTTCTTTCAATACTTGATCCGGGAATTCCTTTGTCTTCTGGATTAGGTTCAAAATTACAAGGTTATGGAGTTGAGCATTAGTAATCCTAAACCGAAAATCGGGTCGGCTGTTCAACAACGGATATGAAACAAAATAAAATTCATAAACTTTTTAAATTTCCTTCAGTCGATCCGAACCAACAATTTGCGAATCTGGACTATCCCTTTTGTTGGACTAAACCCTTCCATTGTAATTGTGCTTATTAAGCTTTTATTTTAGATTTCATAATTTCATTTCAGATTTTCAGACGAAGAGGTAGCAAAACGAGATCCCAACGTATATCTTCCGTTTGGGCATGGACCCAGAAACTGCGTCGGAATGAGATTTTCACATTTAAGTTCCAAAGTGTGTCTGGTGTACATAATTAGCAGTTTTATTATTAAGTCATGCTCCCAAACCAAAGTAAGCTTAAACTTTAATTTTTTATGATTGTTATATTTTCGTTTTATTTACTGTAAAATTGAGATGTATGAATTTTATGTAAAGTGTAAAATGCTGTGACTCATTTGCAGCTAGTAACACCATAAACCTTTTTTAAGAACTGATGGGTTTCGTTATAACAAGTGGCAAGCAGCAAAATCTGTGGGCCATGTTGCTACAGGCTGAACTATATACTAGCAACTGGAACATATTTAATATAAGAAGAAAATAATTAAATAAGTTTTATCCGAAATCACAACTCAACCTATTTCATAACATCTCTGGAACTAATGAAGTGGGTTAAAAGAGTTCTTGCATACAATTATAAAACTTATTTATTCAAGGCAATATCCAGCAAAATAATACTTTTTTTTCCACATTTATTTATTGTATTTTATTATTTAAATTACTGAAGGTGGAAAAAAAATCGTTTCAAGGTATACAAATTCTTACATCAAATTAATCGCCGTTATAAAGTCTGAAAATATTAAAAAATAATTGGCTAGCAAAAGCATTAATAATGGTAAAAATATTAAAAAAATAACGGGCTAGCAAAAGCACGAATAAAATAAACTGAACACATAAAGAGATAAATAAAATAAAAAAGCAAGCGATAAAGTTAGAATGACAATTTTTAGAACAACAGAGTTGTTGGTTTTTAAGAGATTAGTTTTGTTTTGGAATTTGAGTTTTCTTATAACCTGTTATGAGTTTTTCACACTTGTTACTGTTTGTGAATAAAGGTTTTTATGTTGTAAAAAACAGAACTGTTATTCAGATAGTTCATGATACCTTGCACCGTCAACTAAATACCACAGCATCAACAGCTATCCTTCTAACTTATTGGATTGAAGATTGTGCCTCATAAATAACTTAAAGTGCCTGCTACAGTTAAGGCCTTATGGACAGTGCAAACTTCAATAAAGTAAACGAAAGCATAAAATTTAACTTCACATAAGAAGTGATTAATGAATTTAATTCATAAATTATAAAAATAAGCTTTGTTTGAAAATTAGCAACTTCTAACCAAAAGTTTGTTTGATTACTATAAATTCGTTTAAGTCTAGTAACGTAAATAATAATGCCTTTGAGCGCTTTAACACTAAACATACCAACATTTAATCTATACCTATTTCTACCGTAGTTGGTCAATTAACCGGACTTTATGTTTCTTGATTGAATGTATGAAATATGAATGTTATGAAGGAAATAAACTAAAAAACTTTATTATAATTAAACATAATTGTATATTGTCCATTTTTATGCATTACAAATACAAAGAATAAGAATTTTTAAATTCATTGCTCAACGCATTTTTAACATATACTGGGTGTTTCCATTGTACATTTTCCGCAAATATATTTCTTCTAATTATTATTATTTCTGTAATTCTTATAATTATTCTTATAATTATAAGAATATATAAGAATTATGAGAATTATAATTGTTATAATTAATATTATTTCCTCTAAGAACTTGTGCTGTCTTGATTGTTTCGACATTTTTCTGGGTAATTAGAAATGAAGTTAATTAGACAGTTAATTGGGTATAATATGAAAAAAAGCACAACTACTTCCACTTACTAGGAATAACATTTACCTTTTAGTTTAATTAATAAACTGAGTTTTAAATATGCTTACTAAATTCATAAACTTCGGTAAAACAACAATATAAATTATTTCCAAAGAAACTAGACTAATACAATTCCAACCTGGCGAGTAGCGACTTATAACAAGACACTTCGCTTGATGCTTTTACTTGTTGCTAGAAATCAGGTTCGCAGAAAATGCTGTTTACTAGTTAAATTTAGTAGGAATAACACGATCTGTGACGTAGGCTATAGTATACCCAATTAGAAATGAAGTAAAGCTATCAAAACAAAATATAAACTACTTACTTAAACATTTAGTTTCTGTCACTTTTTCTTACAAAAAAATGATAAATCTAAAATTTTAGATACTTTCTTGAAATTTGAATTCACGGATATTCCGATTGAATTAACTACGCAACAGTTTTTGCAGAAACGTGCAACTAATCGAATGCAATACGTTAAACGTTAAACACGCATTGCATCATAATTTCTGATCCGATATCCTTATAAAGAAATAAATTGTTTTCCCGGTCAAATGACCAGTTGTGTTAGAAATAGGTATATGAGAAGTATTATTCGGAACAAACGAAATACAAAAAAATAATAATAATAGCATATTAACTTTATATAATTGTTGGAAAAAGTCATGAAGTCAAATGTGCAAAAACGATCATACCATAACGGTCAATTGATCGGTTATGGTATGTTTAGTGTTAATACTGATGCATTTTGTAGGCATTAAAACTTTTTTGCCGTACTTATTATTTCTATCAGCAGCTTTTGTTCGGGTGCTGCTGTATTTTAAAGCAGTTTAGATGCAGTTTAATGGGTTTAAATGCTTTAAGTGCTTAAATACTCTGATTTTCTATTTGCTTGTTAGCGCCTGCTCAATAAACACTTCAAGAGTTTAAATTATTTCTATAATCAACTTAAAATATAATTATTTAATGCCTCTGTTCTTCAAGGCGAATTAACATGTATATTTTAATGTACTTTATGCTTGATTCTAATATTTTATTCTTATTTTAACATGCTGATTAGCCCTGCTAAAAACTTTGCACTATGTTAACAGTAAAACCTTTGAAGTTAGAAATTATTGGTGTATGAATATATGAAAATGCCATTTAAAGAACATGTCATGTTTTTATGCACTATATTTGCATTATTTTGCATTTTCAGGTTCCATTGGAGTTTGTCAAAGATTCTTACTTCACATTAAAGCCAAAAGATGTGACTGTTCAATTGGAAATTCGAAATGATTGTCCATTAATTTATACTTAAATATTACTGATAACGCTATGATTGTTTTAAATATCCCTCGTTCATTGTACTATTTTAATCAATAAATTTTGCAAGCCATAACTTGATCTTTCTTAAATCTCACTATAATCACGATTGCACACAGCAAAAGATACATTAATCAATCATTACGAGTTAGCGGTTGAAGCAGAAATTTAACGGAAGAGTTTACTTTTTCGGAGGGAGGGATAGGGGACTTTCAAATCTATGTGCATTTCTTAAGGCGAGAATTCCAAAGTGGCATAACCTTTCCGATTCTTTTCTTTACTACGATAGAAATCTCTTAAACTAAGTGAGATTTATTCTTATAACTTTTCTTTATTCCTTCAAAATAGTAGTGTAGTTACGTCACTCTAGAGCTTCATAATAGGCTAATGCAAACGGTCTGGCAAACATCCCATAGAACAATCGGAAAACATACCATCACAATTTTGAATCTCAGTGGAGGGAATGGCTCCCTTCATTTGGTAGCTTGACAATCTGTCCTAAACCGAGCCTTTTACGGTAGAACAGTTATCAATACCGCGCTCTCTCGACTCCTTTGCATGCTGAGCAGAGTTGTCTCTCCCGTACCCGCTCACTGGTTGTTGCCAATGATTCTTGACTTTGATGATCCACAAATAATCATGTTTCAACAGCGGGACTTCAGAACAATACAAAATGTCTCTTAAAAAAACTTTAGGGTTTCAAAGAATGAAACGTAATTCGACGTTTGAAAACCGTTAAATATTTAAAAAAAAAAAAAAAACTTAATCTGTTCCGAACTTTTTGAATTTTATTTAAACGTGTATTTATTTCTGCTATTGATCATAATTTGCATTGATTGGTAGGCTCTTCTTGAGAAAATATGGAAAATAATAGAAAATAATGACAAGAGAAGAAAGTTATTAAAAATATTTTTTAAAAGTATTTAAAAAAATATAATTTTTGATATCTAAGAGAAATAAAAAAAATTATGTATGCAAACCCCACTATAGTGAACCTTCAAGGGACCGAAGTGTCGGTTCACTATAACCGGGAGTTCACTATATCCGTTACGCAGGCAATATAACTAATGGTTTCTTAACTCCTCCCTTTTATTACACATTATTCAAATAATTGACTGAAAAATATTATGTAGCGCCAAAAATGTGCTATTTTTCATTACTCTTCGTCTTGCGTATGAAAAAATTAGTAATCTTTAGCTGATGAGCAATCCTCAACAACAGATATGGAAACACTTCCCGACTCTCAGATAATTTTTCCTGAATTTCTGTTATTCCGTGTAAAAACAATAAAGCTGTACAGTATCACCTGATAATTAAGATTTTACATGGAATCTTATAGTGCGTCTAATAATTGGGTATAATATAGCCTACGTCACAGGTTGTGTTGTTCCTACTAAATTTTACCCATGAACGGCATTTTCTGCGAGCCTAACTTCAAGCCACANATATATACAATATATATACAATATATATATATATATATATATAAATATATATACGCACTCATAGCCAAAAAATTAGCGCACCAAGGAGTCGTCAAAAAACGAAATTTTTCATATGTATTGACTACTTTGATATAGTAAATGATTAGAAAATCAAAGAATCTTTGATTTTCTAATCATTTACTTATATCAAAGTAGTCATTACGTATGTAAAATTTCGTTTCATTTTGACGACTCCTTCTTGATGCGCTAATTTTTTTGGCCATGAGTGTATATAGGAGGATTGCTTTTTAAAAAAAATATCTAATGTATCTAGTTTCACTTTTCGATCCCATGCATATTTCTCGAGATATTTGATTATTTAGAAACTTCTTTGCACCCTGTATATACAACATTATTCTCTGGCCCCAGAGGTATGTAAGGGAGTAGTACAGCACGTAATGGATCACTGAGATGAGTTTTCTATCTTACATCACGATAGCTATAGACATTATTTTAATACTTCTGCTGCCTACTATTCTGAGATGTCCCGAAGTCATATTTACGGTTATTGGCTGATGGACAGATTTTAAATTATTGCTGAAAAAAATGCTACGAGAGGGTTCACATATGTAGGATTGTTAGCTAAGCAAATACGATTATTTATTATATTAATTTTTTTAACTAAGAGAAAAATATTTTTTTTCATACGCACTTCATCTTTATGATTTCCCATTTTGTTTAAAAAAAAAAAAATAACTCAAAAAATTAAATTTTTCAAAACTATTTTAATGAAATTAATTGTTCTTGCTCTTACAGCATTTTTTTTTTAATATTACGTTTAAGTAGAATTTTATTAAGAGAAATTCTCTTACAACTTTAAAATATTTTAAACAAATTAATTCTTTGATATATTCCTATAGATGACGCCACCAAAAATTCATTTCTTCACTTTATCCTTTTGTGTTTCTTTTCAAGTGAGTAAATTGATTTCATCCATCAATTTTTTTTTGGAATTCATGTATGACATCACACTATATACGCGCTGAAATTTTCATGCAAGAGAATTTATTACGCAGTTATGCCTTCGAATATAAATTTTTTTATGCTGCACTTTTTTTAAAACTAAAATTAAGATCAAAATCAAGTAATGTTAAGTTTTCTCTAAGGAGACAGATGGCGCCACTAAAATTTTTATTTCCTAATTTCAATGATTTAATAACAAATCCAATCATCTGTAGAGAAATAAATACCTGGCTATAATTTATTTATATTTTACATAAAAAAAAAAAAAAAAANAAAAAAAAAAAAAAAAAAAAAAAAAAAAAAAAAAAAAAAAAAAAAAAAAAACTGAAGAAGTAGGTAAATTAAATTAGCTAAACAAAAATTTATATAAATTCTGATTACGTTTATTAAATTTTATAATTGTTGTTTAAATTCTTTGTTATTACCGAAGTATTTTATTTATTTGGTATTAGAGAATTTCCCGTTCTTCGAGATTTGTAGCAAAAATAAACAAATGAATAATTAAAAAAAAAAAAAAAATCCTAAATGATTTATGAGTTGGTACTGTAAGCTAGCACTCAGGAATGATGTTGTCGATCAAAGAACTGTAAAAACGTAATCGTCATTTACTGGTACCAACAACATTTAATGCTAATTCTATGAGGGAAAAAAAACATCTTTTGAACAAAAAGTCAAGCATCTAAATAACCTGATTTTTAAAAATGGGGTTAAAACTGCTCTTTAGGTTAAGTTAGGTTAAACACATAAAATCTTTCTTTTATTATTATTGATTATGCATGAGCTGTTATTTACAAAAAATGTCATTTACCTTTAACAACTTGATTTCTATTTTGTTTCTCTTCGTTATCAAAAGTCTAACCATAAAAAAAGTGCTGTTGTTTAGTAAAAAACGTGCTTATAAAAAAATGATAAAATTACTCACCGAATGAAGTAAAGTAAACAACTTTTCCTCAACTTTTCTTCTTTCTTTCATATTTACCAATTTCCAATTTTCATACATTAGAAATAGGTAAATGTTAAATGTTTCTTTAAATTAACTAATTAACTTCTTTAAATTAACTTCTTTAAATTTAAAAAACAGAAAATGTTTCTTTAAATTAATACTTTTTACACACAAAAAATAGCTGTTTTTACCCAGAAAAAATAGGAGCATAATGTTGCTGAATTATTATTTATACACCAAAAATATTTTCTAAGCTTAATTTTACCAATTCTTTTCACTCTTTTTAAAATTATTTTATAAATTTACACACTTTTCAATTGGCAAAGATATGTACTGCATATCTACACACAAGAGGAAATATCTTATAATAAAAATTTTCGCATGATAAAAAATTATCTAGTGTGCGAAAAGTGAAACATTTACACCCAGAACACGAAAGTTCAATAGGATAAAAAGAGAAAAATAATGAATAATTTATGTTATCTTGTTTATTTTTAATAAAAATAAAATTCTGATTGTATTATACAAATTGCATCGATTTCATATTAATTTATTAAAAAACCTGTAAGGGCATTTAAATGTTATTAATCCTTGTAATAATATGTAACTAGTAAATGATAGTTAAATTATTGTTCAAAATTATTTTACTCGCCTGTTTCTTTTTTAATAAAAAGCATTTATGTATTAAAACCTATTTGGAATCCTTTCACATTATTTTATGTCATCCTTTAAGTGTATTTACATTATTTCAAACCAAGTGCAAAGTTTATTATTCCAAATCATTATAGTTCTGATATTACCAAGGTATTTTTTCCCCAATGAAATTTATATATTTCTAACAAATAATAAATTACAGATGAAAATCATCATTACGATGTAGGTATAAAATATTAGCGGTTATTTCTTCTTTAGTAGTAGTTTAATTTTATTTGGATTTGAAATTTGTCCGAAAATCTGCATTCAATGATGTTCCTATTTCATTAAATCACCTACCACAGTTAGCTTCGTTTTGTAATATCCATACCTCTAAAACAATGAACTAAGATTTTTTTTAACAATAATGTGAAATTTTTCTAACAGTTGCGAGTTTTATAAACAGTTATTTCTGACTGCTAGATTAGTTTTGGTACTTAGTCCGCCAGCGTTTGTAAGATTGAGAAACGCTTATGAAGTAATATATCCATATATTTCTTTCATGTGGCACCATTAATGCGTGTGTTTCTCACTATCTATTGGCAGCACTATAGTCATTTATAGTTATTATTCATTTTAAGGTTGTCTTAAGTAATAATTGAAGTATAGTTGAATAGTTAGTGGCCAGTGCTTAAATCTGGATCTAAAGTCAAACTAAGGTGCTCTTTTTAAAGCTTAAGTGGTAGGTAAGAGAGGGAATTATCTACTTGATCTTAACTAATATGTACTATCACATTTTTCACATAGATTATTTTCGGAAATACACTTTTAATACAAGCACTAATAGGTTGAGGAATTTTTTACGAGGGGGAACTTGGAATAATACCTTAAAAGGAGAAAAAAAATACATCCATTGTCAGATGAAATTGAAAAAAAAAAAAAAAAACTGTTTGAAAATACAAGCTGTCCCCAATGCAATATACTTAACTCTCTAGCTCAAGAAGTTACAATTCAAGAGACGTTGCGGGTTATGTGCATTATTTTTAATGC